CTCTCTCTCTCTCTCTCTCTCTCTCTCTCTCTCTCTCTCTCTCTCTCTCTCCAGGTTTATACGAAAACCCCAGAATTCTACACTTATTAATCGAATTATGTGACGAAAACACACTAGGCCTAATGACACAAGGGACCGAATAAGCAATTACACTGTATAATTTTGCTCCTAAACTTTAATTTCTAAAAAAGAATCTTCACGTGATTTTCCTTACTCTTAATTTCATTTTGTTTCTCTTTTTACTTTTTTTTCCTCGAAGACATTGCCTTTCATATTAAATCATTGTACGTTTCAGAAGTGTTGTAGAAACGAGTTATAAAAGTTAAGGCTATGGTAATTTGACTTTTCTTTTTTTCTGTTTTGGGCGGTAGGAAAGGAGGGGGGGGGGGGTAATATGAAGCGAAGATGATGCTATTATACTTTTGTTCTTGCACTCAGAGTATCCACGTTCTTTGTTTGATTATATCATATTCTTTTTTTTTCATTGGGTAGGTTCACAGAATTCTACACTTAGTGTAGAATTCTGTGGGTAGGTTTTATCAACTCATGACTCTGGTTTTATTACAGTTGGTAGTTTTAGCAGTAGCCTAAAGCAAGCACCTTGCAGTAAAGAAATAGGAATACAATAGAATCGAAAGTGTAAACTTCCGGAGGGTACAGAGTTCATATCATATCGTCAGTCGTCGTTTCATAGTCATAGTTTCATTCATTGGTTTGCCACACTGCAATTCAACTGCTAGCGAAGATGGCTTTTCAGACTCCCCCAGAAGTACTGCTTCGCCAATGCCTGCGGTAAGGAATCATTTGGACATGTTAATGTGTTTTGTCATAGTATAGATCTGATACTGCATTTATGTAAACAATGCTTAAAATAATACTGTAATGTTTATCAATAGATCTAGGCGAAGCTTCACTCACTCACACTCGATCCTAAGCAGACTTAGATCTACCAGTTACCAGTGCAATCGTACTTTTGTATTAGAACTGAAAAGGGTACAGGCTTGACTTGATATGATTTTCTGCGAGTAGTCCAAATTATGGACAATATTTTATTTTACTGACTTTTATGCTTTGGGAAGAATGAACAATACCGGACCACTTCAGCGCCTTGCGTGAGCCAGATTACTTCAATTCACGAGAGGAGAAAGGCTAGCAATGGATGGTCAGACATTCTTCATTCACATCTTGGGGGGG